AAGGGGAAAGACTGCAGCACTGCAGGGGGGGGACAGGGGAGCACACAGGGAGCCCAGCCAGCAGAGAGTAACCTGGACAGGATTTCTCAGGCCTCATGCTCCAGGGAGCCCTTGTGGCCTCCCTGTTTTATACATATACACAAACCAATCCCCTCTATTTTCCTCCTGCAGGCAGGAAGGAGTGGAGGAGAACCAGACTTTCAGCGGCTGTAGGAAGAAAATGGAGGGGATCAGTTTGTGTATATGCCGCCCTTCCTGTCCAGTAGAACAGGGAGACTGCAAGGGCCTCCTGGAGCATGGGGCCTGGATTGCATTTGCGACCTATGTGACCCCTGATACTACGCCAGTGCTTAGTCCATCTCGGGACTGAGCAAGAGAGGGTGACTACATTCCTACATACAGTGGGACCATGGAGAATGAACGTAGCCACTCTTTCACAGGAAGTCAGATCACAGCAGCAAAAAGAAAGGAATTTGGAGACTTGGAGGAGGCTGAGGGCAGTAGAGAAAAGGAATCTGGAGACTTGGAGGAGGCTGAGAGCAGTGGAAGGGATAGTTTTAGTTAAGAATACTTACGTTAATAGAACTTTTTTGGAAACCAGATTTTAGTGTCACTGCTATATTTTCTATTTTTTGAGGGGATTTTATATGACTTTTACAGAAAAAGAGGAAGCAAATAAGAGGACTGTGAGAGGAGTCACTTTGGGTGGGGGCCCATGGAACCCAGCTTACTTTCCCTATTATGTGTAAGTCACCCTGTGCCTGTTAGTGGTACAGGGTGATCAGGCCTAATATTGTGTAGACATGTCTAGGAGATAGCTGGGGTGCGGGTTGTGGATTGTTTGGTGTTGTGTGGCTGCATCCCATTGTTCTATTGTTTGTCTTGCTTGGGAGCAAACTATTATAGGATGTATGTGTATATGTGTATTAGCTTAGTGGGGGAGGGGGGTGTCTTCAGCAGCCCTCCCTCCTGATGGGACTGTCTGCTGGTGTGAAGTTTGAATACCTGTGTATCTCTTGTTACTAAATGTAGATTGCCCTGAACCTGTGTCATTATGCAGTGAGGGGGGACTGTCCCTTGAGTGTATATATCTTGTATCTGTGTTGAAATTAAGTAGTCTGCCTTCTGGATTACTTCAAATCTGGTGTTGTCTAGATCTTGGGGTAGCAATAGCCAGATTCACTGGTCTCGTGTTCCAGAGCCTGAGAAGCAGCTTCTTGATGGAGATACCAGTCGTGGGTGTCTGGGGTCCGTTACAAGGACATTCTCTGTCAGGTATTACAACATCCTTCAATTCTTTTTAAGAATGCTTACGATTTAATTCAATCTTGACAGGAGTTTACAAATAGTGAGAATTAATGTTTGCAGAATCGGTCGTTTTATTGTAATCGGCAAACAATTGTCAACTGACTGCATTTTTGAGAAATAATTGTCATTCCAAAACAGATAGTTTGCCGTCTTTTGTTCAGCCATGAAGATTTTTTTCTTTGTTTCAGTGACAAAATAAGGTAGCAGATGAATCCTCCAGGTATTTCAATATGTGGTTTTCTGATGTATGCTCCAAGGGAAAAGGTGAAACCTCCTTTTTGTTTATTTTATTTACCACTTCAGCTCCGGAAGAATGTACTTCCTTCTTGATCAGGCCATTTTTTTCCTATTCGGCACTGTACTACTTAGGCAATAGCGTGGTTACTGTACCCAAATTAAACTTTTATAGTTTTTTTTACACACAGATTTCCTTTGGTGGTATTTGATCACCACTGGGTTTTTTCATTTTTTTATTATATAAAAGAATAAAGACTGAACATTTTGAAACAAAAATATTTTTTACTTTCTGCTATAAAATATATGCAATAAAAAAGAATTAAACAATTTAATTTCTTCACAAATTTAGGCCAAAATGTATTCTGCTACATGTCTTTGGTAAAAAAAAAAAGTCCCAATATGTGTATATTGAGTGGATTGTATGAAAGTTAGAGTGTCTACAAATTATGGTGTATTTATACAGTAGTGGCATTTTTTTGTTAACGGCTGTAATCAGTGACTTATAGTAGGACTGTATTAGTGTGGGGGGCAATCTGACATTAATTGACGCTAGTTGGGAACTGACTAAACGACACTGACATCTCCAGTGGCACTAATACAGTGATCAATGCTAATCATTATACTCTGTCACTGTACTAATGACATTGGCTGGGAAAGGGTTAACATTTGGGGGCAATCACAGGGTTAGGGTGTGTGCTTAACAAAGTCTGCTGTTTATGTTGTGTGCTGTTTTTACTAAGCAATGTGCCGGGTTTTACTCCCTGCTTTGCAGAGAGAAAAAAAAACCCGGCACGTCGCTCCTGTCTGTAGAGAGCCCTATGTTTTTTACCAGCACAGGGCTCTCTTCTCTTCGTTTGCTCCTCTGGTCAGCAGATTCTGGGCATAAATCATTGCCGGGACATGCTGATCGGCTTGTGCAGTAGCAAATGACAGCACAGCCAGGCGCTCGCGTGTGCCCCCTGCCTAGATGAGCCGAATCATGTACACGTATGTGATCTGGTGCAACAGGGCCGCACTGTGGCAGTATATCTGTCATAGACGGTCGCTAAGTGGATAAAGATTAAGCAAATAAAGCTGAGAACAATGTTTTCAGCCTCTATCGGCTGGTAAAAATCTAATGCTTCATTGTTCTTTATATCATTTTATCCCAAAAAGTGTCTTGTACACCAGCTGAGGGATTTTGGGTGGGAGTGCACCAGACAAATTAACCGCTTCCCCATCGCCCCATAGCAGATATACTGATACAGGGCGGCAGGGGTGCACAAAATCACGTACAGAATATATATATATGTGATTTTGCATTTACAGGCAGGGGGCTCGTGCGCACCCTACCTGCGCCGCCATTCACGGCCACGGCTGTCAATCACTGAGTCCAGGCCGGCAAGTACGCACTGGCGCCCAGTGATTACCGAGCATCTCCGACGGGGGGAAAGACTGTTTTGTTTACTAACAGTCTTCCTCCCTGTCAGCTCAGGCACACTGCTCTGGATGACTGTGCACAGCACAGCTATCCCTATCAGTGTGCTTGCAGTGAAGCACACACCCCCGCCCCTAGTAAAAGACTCCCAGCACACAGTTAACCCTTTGATCTCCCCTCACATTAACCCCTTCCTGCCCAGTGTAATTAGTACAGTGTCATTGCTTTTTTTTTTAGCACTGAGCACTGTATTGGTGTCACTGGGGATGCCAGTGACACCAAGTTAGTTCCCCCCAGTGTCATAATGTCCGCCGCAGTCCCTCTAAAAGTCACTGATCACTGCCATTACTAGTAGAAATAAAAAAATCCCAGTATATATACTGCCATTTGTAAATGCTATAACTTTCACTTAAACCAATTAATGTACACATATTGAGAGGGAAGAGAGAGCGAGAGAGGGAGAGAGAGGGAAGAGAGAGAGACGTGAAGAGAGAGAGAGGGAAGAGAGAGGGGGGAGAGAGAAGAGAGACGGAGTGAGGGAGAGAGAGAGAGAGAGGGAAAAGAGAGAGAAAGGGGAGAGAGGGGGGGGAAGAGAGAGGGGGAAGAGAGAGAGATGGGAAAGAGAGGGGGGAAGAGAGACAGAGTGAGGGAAGAGAGAGAGAGGGAAAAGAGAGAGAGAGGGAAGGGAGAGGGGGGAAAGAGAGAGAGGGGGGAAGAGAGAGACAGGAAGAGAGAGGGGGAAGAGAGAGAGAGGGAAGAGAGAGGGGAAGAGAAAGGGGGGGAAGAGAGAGGGAGAGAAAAGAGAGAGAGAGGGAAAAGAGAGAGCGAAGAGAGAGAGGGGGGGAAGAAGAAAGGGGGGGAAGAGAGAGGGAGAGAAAAGAGAGAGAGAGGGAAAAGAGAGAGCGAAGAGAGAGAGGGAAAAGAGAGAGGGGGAAGAGAGAGGGGGGGGAAACGAGAGAGGGGGGGAGGGAAAAGAGAGAGAGGGAAGAGAGAGAGAGACGGGAAGAGAGAGAGAGAGAGAGAAGAGAGAGGGGGGGAGAAGAGAGACAGAGTGGGGGAAGAGAGAGAGAGAGAAAAGAGAGAGAGAGTGAAGAGAGGGGGAGAGAGGGGGGAGAGAGAGACAGGAAGAGAGAGAGAGGGAAGAGAGAGAGGGAAGAGAGAGAGGGAAGAGAGAGAGGGAACAGAGGGGGGAAGAGAGAGAGGGGGAAGAGAGAGAGAGGGAAAAGAGAGAGAGCGAGGGAAGAGAGAGAGAGAGGAAAAGAGAGGGGGGAAGAGAGAGAGAGAGGAAGAGAGAGATGGGAAAGAGAGAGGGAAGAGAGAGAGAGAGGAAAAGAGACGGAGTGAGGGAAGAGAGAGAGAGGGGAAAAGAGAGAGAGGAGAGAGAGAGGAAAAGAGGGGGGGAAGAGAGAGAGACGGGAACAGAGAGAGGGGGAAGAGAGAGAGAGAGGGAAGAGAGAGAGAGGGGGAATGTGTGTATGCATGTCTGTACATGCCTGCGTGTGTATACATGTGTCTGTTCGTGTGTGTACATGTGTCTCTGTGCGTGTTTGTACATGTTTCTGTGTGTGTATGTGTATGTACATGTCTGTGTGTGTTTACAGGTGTCTCTGTTTGTGTGTTTGTTGGTGGCGAGTAACTCTTAAGGACTGGCTAGTAGCTCAGGACTTGAAATTTTAAGCCCTGGCATACACCCATGGGTCCCTAAAGCATTGAGCTCTGTCATTTCAAAGCCATTGTTTCTAATTTTTACGGACTCTTTAATGACTGGCATAGTACCACTGGATTGGCGTAAGGCCAATGTGGTGCCAATATTTAAAAAGTGATCAAAATCTTTACCAAGTAATTATAGACCTATTAGTGTAACTTCTATAGTTGGGAAGATATTGGAGAGTTTAATAAAAGAATACATAGATGAGTTCTTGCTGGAAAAAATATTTTAAGCAACAGACAGCATGGATTCATGAAAGACAGAAGTTGTCAAACAAATCTGATTTCTTTTTATGAGGAGGTGAGCAAAACTTTGGACAGAGGGGTGGTGGTGGACGTGGTATACTTGGACAGAGGGGTGGAAATGGACGTGGTATACTTGGACAGAGGGGTGGTGGTGGACGTGGTATACTTGGACAGAGGGGTGGACATGGACGTGGTATACTTGGACAGAGGGGTGGCGGTGGACGTAGTATACTTGGACAGAGGGGTGTCGGTGGACGTAGTATACTTGGACAGAGGGGTGTCGTGTGGACGTAGTATACTTGGACAGAGGGGTGGCAGTGGACGTGGTATACTTGGACAGAGGGGTGGCGGTGGACGTGGTATACTTGGACAGAGGGGTGGCGGTGGATGTGGTATACTTGGACAGAAGGGTGGCTGTGGACATGGTAGACTTGGACAGAGGGGAGGCGGAGGACGTAGTATACTTGGACAGAGGGGTGGCAGTGAATGTGGTATACTTGGACAGAGGGGTGGCTGTGGATGTGATATACTTAGACAGAGGGGTGGCGGTGGATGTGGTATACTTGGACAGAGGGGTGGCGGTGCGTGTGGTATACTTGGACAGAGGAATGGCTGTGGATGTGATATACTTGGACAGAGGGGTGGACATGGACATGGTATACTTGGACAGAGGGGTGGTGGCGGATGTGGTATACTTGGACAGAGGGGTGGCAGTGGACGTGGTATACTTGGATTTTGCAAAAGCGTTTGGCACAGTTCCCCACACACGGCTAATGTGTAAGGTAAAGTCTATGGGCTTGGAAAAATCTGTATGTAAATGGATAGAAAACTGGCTAAAAGATGGTATTCAGAGAGTAGTGGTTAATGATTCATACTCTGAATGGTCTGGGGTCATCAGTGGTGTACCCCAAGGTCCTTACATTTAATATATTTATAAACTATATAGGGTCTGGGATTAAAAATCCCATTTCAGTCTTTGCAGATGACACCAAGCTGTGCAGTGGAATAACGTCCTTACAGGATGTCTCCAACTATGCTCTGTGTAAATTGGGCAAACTATGTGGTAAATGATGTTTAATGTTGATAACATGTAAGGTTCTGCATTTGGGGGCTAAGAATATGTATGCATCATACATATGGGGGGGGATACAACTGGGGATCAATGGTGGAGAAGGATCTGGGGGTTCTGGTAGATCACAAGCTTAATAATGGCATGCAATGCCAAGCTGCGAGGTTATAAAGCGAGGAAAATTCTTTCTTGTATTAAAAGAGGTATAAGACTCCAGAGAGAGAGATATCATCCCCCCAGTACAAATCATTAGTAACACCTACATACTGGAATATGCAGTTCAGTTTTGGGTTTTGTTCCCTTTAACGCGCATACAGTTATTCACCAATTCACAAAAAAAACATTGGGGAACTGGAGAAAATATAACAGAGAGGGCAACCAAACTGATAAGAGCATGGAGGAGATTCAGCTTATGAGGAAAAGATTCGAGAGATACTGAATGTATTCTCTCTTGAGAAGAGGAGATTAAGGGGGATATGATCACCATGTATAATACATAAGGTTCAGGGGATATGATCACCATGTATAATACATAAGGGGGATATGATCACCATGTCTAATACATAAGGGGGGGATATGATCTCCATGTATAATACATAAAGGGGGGATATGATCTCCATGTATAACTCATAAGAGGGATATGATCACCGTGTGTATAATACATAAGGGGGATATGATCTCCATGTATACATACATAAGGAGTGGGATATGATCTCCATGTATAGAATACATAAGGGGGATATGATCTCCATGTATAATACATAAGGGGGGATATGATCTCCATGTATAATACATAAGGGGGATATGATTCCATGTATAATAACATAAGGGGGGCTAGGATCTCCATGTATAAATACACCCCCCCCCCCCCCCCCCCCCCCCCCCCCCCCCCCTCATATAGTGAACTCGGTGTAGAGTTATTCACCCTGAGGTCATCACAGAGGACAAGGGGGAGCTCTCTATGTCTGGATGAAAAGAAATTTAATCTCCAAACACGAAAAGGTTTCTTCACAGTGAGAGCTGTGAAAATGTGGAATAGACTCCCTCAAGAGTTGATTCTGCCCAGCTCAGTGGATTGCTCTAAAAAAAGTCCTGGATTCTTTCTTAGTATACGGGGCAGCAGAAAATAACTGGATACTAACATTTATAGTAAAGTTGATCCAGGGAATATCCAATTGCCTCTCCCTGCAAGGAGCAAATTGTATCATGCTTTGCTGGGGGGGGGGGGGGGTTGCCTTCCTCTGGGATCAACTGTGGGGTATAGGATTATAACTTTTTTTTTTTCCTATTGTTGAAATGGATGGACGTTTATGTTTTTTTCAGCCAGACTACCTACGTATCATTAGAATTTGCACAGTCATGTTAATCTACAAACATCCCTTCCTCCACACGTCTATTAATATTTAATTAAGACACCAATAAATACCAAAAGTCACCCCCCCCCCCCCACCCCCCCCACCCCCCCCCTCCCCCCTTCCCCACCACCCTTGGCACAGTGCCTCTATCCAACATGTGCTTGCATTGTCTGTGAATTTGCAATGGTATTATTATATGTGGGGACAAGAAGGGCGAAATAGCCCTGCCGCAAAACTCCTTGAATCAGGTGAGAATCAATAATCATTGACTGAAAAAATCCAATCCACTTTGATCATCATCAGGCCAAGGACCAATCAAGACATAGCCATGTGCCTCTCAGATAGATGGTGAAATTCTGCACTGAAAATCAGGAAACACTTTTCAAATCTCTGTAGGCAACTTTTCTTCTTTTTTTACCACCAAGTAGAATTTCATCCTCAATATCGAGATTAGAAAATGAAAAATCCAGCATTCAGCGCGGTTCAAGCACGCTTGGTAATGGCTGGGGGATAGTTGAGAGCAGCTAGGAACCCAGTAAAGGGAGGTATCTCCTGCTGTGGTCCTCTATGGTAATAGACCCCTTCACAACACTTGAGCATTTTTTTGCTTGTTTCCCTATGCCTTGGACCTATGCAAAAATCCCATTCTATCATTAGCAGTGTCCTGTTCACACTTGTATTAGCTCAGTTGGTCCATACGCTCTACAAACCTACTAAAAATTACATGAGCTTTTTTTTTTTTAGGCATGTTTTGAGTTTTCTCAGTCCCCATGACTTCAGTGGAAGAGTGCCTGTAAATGCGTGGGCTATGTGTGGTTTTTGCACTGAAGAACCCTCCCTCGATAGAAGTTCCTCCCCCTTTCCCCTTA